CAATGTAATCTTACACCTAAAGGAACTAGGAAAAGAACAGCAAACAAAGCCCAAAGTGAACAGAAGGAAGAAAATAATATATATCAGAGTTGAAATAAACAAATTACAGTCTAAATAACAATAGAAAAGATCAATGATTCCAAGGGCTTATTCTTTAAAAAGATAAACAAAATTGGTAAAATTTTAGCCAGACTCATCAAGAAAAAAAAAGGGAGAGGGCCCAAAAAATAAAATCAGAAATGGAAGAGAAGTAACAACCAACATATATTACAACATATCACAGAAATATAAGGATTATGAGGAAGTAATACAATCAATTATATGCCAACAAATTGGACAACCTGGAAGAAATGGATACACTCCTGGAAACATAATCTTCCAAGGATGAATCAGGAAAAAATCTGAGCAAACCAATAACTACTAATGAAATTGAATCAGGAATTCAAAAAAATCCCAACAAAGAGCCCTAGAACAGATGGTTTCACAGGTGAATCTTACCAAACATTCAAAGAAGAATACCTATCCTTTTCAAATTATTCTAAAATATTGAAGAGGAGGGAAGACTCCAAAACTTATTTTTCAAAGCCAGCATTACCCTGATTTTAAAACCAGACAAAGACATTACAAAAACAGAAAATTATAGGCTAATATCCCTGATGAACATAGACACAAAAATCCTTAACAAAACACTAGCAAACATAATTCAGTAAAACATTAACAAGATCATACACCATAACCAAGTGGGATTTATTCCAGTGATGAAAGGCTGGTTCAATATCTACAAATCAATTAATGTTATACACCACATAAACAAAATGAAGAATAAAAGCATATGATAGCAATATATGCAGAAAAACCATTTGACAAAATCCAACATCCATGTAATATAAAAATTCTCAGCAAAGTGGGGACAGAGGAAACATACCTCAACAAAATAAAGAACATATATGACAAGCTGACAACTAACATACTCAACAGGAAAAAGCTGAGAAGTTTGTTTTTAAGATGAGGAACAAGATAAGGATATACACTTTCACCACTTTTATTCAACATAATATTGGAAATCCTAGCCACAGCAATCAAATAAGAAAGAAAAAGTATCCAAATTGGAAAGGAGCAAGTATAAATGTCACTATTTCCAGATGACATAATACTACATAGTGAGAACCCTAAAATAATCCACCAAAAACTATTTTCTAATAGTAGTAGTTCGCAAAATGAACAAAAAAAATGAAGTTGATAAAGTAGCAGGATACAAATGAATGTTCAGAAATTGGTTGCATTTTTATACACCAGTAACAAACTATCAGAAAGATAAATTAAGAAAACAATCTCTTATAATTTCATCAAAAAGAATAAAATACCTAGGAATAAACTTAACCAAGGAGGCAAAAGACCTGTACTTGAAAAACTGTAAGACTCTGAAGAAAGAAACTGAAGGAGATACAAATAAATGGAAGGTTATACCCACTGTGCTCATGGATAGGAGCATTAAAATGCTCCTGCTATCCAAAGCAATCTACAGATTCAATGCAATTCCTATCAAAACACCAATGGCATTTTTGCAGAACTAGAATGAAAGACCTCAACTAGCCAAAGCAATCTTGAGAAAGAAAAACAAAGTTGGAGGTATCACACTACCTGATCTCAAACTATACTACTAGGCTGTAGTAATCAAAACGGCATGGTACTGGCATAAAAACAATAGACACACAGATCAATGAAACAGAATAGAGAGCTCAGAAATTAACCCAAACCTATAATATGGTAATTTAATCTATGACAAAAGAGGCAAGAATTTACAGTGTGATAATGACAGTCTCTTCAGTTTGGGAAAACTGGACAGATACATGCAGAAAAATGAAACTGGATCACTTTCTTATATTATATACAAGAATAAACACAAAAAGGAATTAAAAACAAATGTTAAGACCTAAAACCATAAAATTCCTAGAACAAAACAGAGGCAGTAAACTCTTTGATCACTCTTAGTAATATTTTTTGGATATGTCTTCTCAGGCAAGGGAAGCAAACAAACAAATAAATAAACAAGTGAGATCTCAAACTAAAATGTTTCTCACAGTGAAGGAACAAGAGAAAAGACAACCTACTGAATGGAAGAAGATATTTGCCAATGATACAATCAACAAGGGGTTAATATTCAAAATATATATGGAATCCATATAACTTGTCAGCAAAAACAAACAATTCAATTAACAAATGTGCAGAGGACCTAAATGGACATTTCTCCAAAGAGGACATACAGATGGCCAAGAGACGTATGAAAAGCCATTCAATGTCTCCATCATCAGGGAAATGGAAATTAAAACCACAATGAGATATCACTGCACACCTGTCAGAATGGCTATCATCATCAAATCAACATATAAGAAGTGCTGGTGAGGAGGTAGAGAAAAGAGAACATTTGTACGCTGCTGGTAGGATTGTAAATTGGTACAGCCGCTATGAAAAACAAGACATAGTTTGCTCAAAAAATTAAAAAATAGAACTGTGTTATGACAAAGTGATTCCACTTCCAGGTATTTTTCTGAAGAAACCCAAAATATCAATTAAAAAGACATATGCACACCCATGTTCATTGCAGCATTATTTACAACAGCCAAGATAGGGAAGCAGCCTAATTGTCCATCAATAGACAAATGGATACACTGGTACAATGTATATAATGGAATATTACTGGGCCATAAAAGAGAATAAAATCTTGCCATTTGCAACAACATGGATGGACCTAAAGGGTATTATGCTAAGTGAAGTAAGTCAGACAGAGAAAGACAAATACCATATGACTTCATTGATAGGTGGAATCTAAAAAAACAAAATAAATGAACAAAGGAAATAAGAAGAAACTCACAGATACAGAGGGCAAATTGATGGTTGTCAGATGAGGGGTTTTGGAGGTTTGGGTGGACAAGGTGAGAGGGATTAAGGACTACCAATGATCAGCTATAAAAAGAGTCCCAGGGATGTAAAGTACAGCACAGGGCACAGCATCAACAACATCATAGGAACTATGGTGTCAGATGGGCACTAGACTTGTCGGGGTGATCACTTCCTAAGTTATATAAACGTGTAGTCACCATGTTGTACATCTGAAACTAATACAATATTGTATGTCAACTGTAATTTAAAAATTAAAAAAAAATTAATTGTCCTTTTTTAAAAAATCTCTTAATTTTAGGCCTATAATATCTAGGTTATTTTTCTAGGCCTTATCTTTCATTCTACTGATTACAATATAACTGACTTGTTAAATTAATTTCTGCAATATTGGAAATTTGGCTATCAACCTTACTGCTAAGAATTATACTTCCTTGAAATATCTTCTTTCTTTTCTTAGAGAAAACATTGTAGTTGTTCTCCAAATTCTACTTCTGACTACTTCATGTTATAAATTTATTAATATTTATCCTAATTATGCCATTATGTACTTTTTCTCTGTTTTAGTATTTTTACTTGCTTTCTAATTATATATTTTAAGAGGACTACTTCTTATTAAATTTAATTATGTAACATAAAAAATGAAAATGATGGCATCAAGGTGATAGCTTTTCCCCTGACAGAGTTCACTGTCACATGTTTCAGAGGGAGCTGGACTGAAGGGCAAGGAACTTGAGGACCTGTGGGCATTTACACCACAAAGGTGGTGCTGGTAGTCTTCTTGAGAAGTGTTACATACAAAAACTTCAAATTTTAAGATACTAAAATCATTCCTGAAATGAATTAGCTCTTGTTCTTTACTTTTTCATCTGTATCTTGTTCTGGGCGACATTTTTATTATAAAGGGAAACTTAAAATAAAAACATTGATTTTCAATAAGAACACTTTCTCCCCCTAGCAGGTTAACTTTTTATTTTTTTTAAGATTTTATTTATTTTTAGACAGAGAGGAAGGGCAGGAGAAAGAGGGGGAGAGAAACTTCAATGTGTGGTTGCCTTTTGCATGCCCCCCACTGGGGACCTGGCCTGCAACCCAGGCGTGTTCCCTGACTGGGAATCAAACCAGTGACCCTTTGCTTTGCAGGCCAGCACTCAATCCACTGAGCCACACCAGCCAGGGCAAACTTTTTATTTTTTCAATCTGGAGCCTTATCAGTCCCTGTTAGAGGTACCTTCAGCTGACATGCTGTGGAATGGTGTCACCTCTTGTAATGGCAAAATTCATCTCTTCAGATCATTCAATTTTCCATCCCCTCTCTTAAACTCCTATAATATTTGGGACTCACTATGCCCCAAATACCATTTGCAGAAACACATTATAAAGCCATAAAACTCTCCCAGCCCCACCCCGCCCTGCCCCAATCCACCCCCCACACCACTCTCCCTCTTGCTCTGTGACACACTCACATCACATACCACAAGCACATGGGTTTAGAAAGCTGAGCTCCTTTGAAAGGCTGATGGGTAAAAATGGCTCCTCTGGGCCACCACTCCAAAGTCTCACCCATATAACCTCTCCCCTATTATTCTTCTGACCTAAGCCCTACCTCACAAATGATGGCACCCCACTGCAAAAAACTCTTAGCATCAAGACAAATCACATTATAGGACACTGGCATCAGTGCATCACATGGACAGACAGTCCATTAAACAGCACATTACTACTTTAATGTAAACTGAAAGAGGAGGCTCAAAAACGAAATTGCCTATTGTGTGCTCTAAAAATAGTAGCTACAGAATTCTTCATTCTAAATAGTAAATAAATCTCACATAAGCAATCACTAATATTATCTAATATAATATTAGATAATATTTAGACGAAATAATTAGATGAAAATGTGTAAGCAAAAAATAATGCTACAAATACACTACTCCAAATTTCATTAAAGGCAGCACAATAGCCAGCTCATTTTTTTTAATGAAGAAAAATTGGACTTCTAATGCCAATTCATCATATGGAGTGTTGACATGAAATTTTCTCATGAATCCAGGTTACTGACTTGTAACTAGACAAACCCTCTCTCTTAAAATAGTATCACAGAATTTTTTTAAGTAGTTGATCTTTATTTGCTGCATTCTAAAAGGCAAACTCTAAAAGATAACAAACTTAAAGTAATATATCAAATAATTCAAACTTCTGTGTAAGTAAAGTATCATTGCTAATAAGATAGTAAAACCTGCTTTAACATTGCTTTGTTGAGAAAATTTATGTGTTTCTATGGCAAATTGTACTTAACAGGCATTTAATTGAGGAGGAAAAAGGAAAGTCAGGGCCAAACAAAAATTCAGTGATTAAATCTGAATCACAATAAGGTTGTAACATATAAAATCAAGTACAAACGATCAGCATGTCAGCTAGTTTTAAAACAGCGCATATACAGAAAATGTTGGTTCCTATTATATATCCCTGATGTTGCAAGATTAGCAATAAAAAAATTTTTTTCCAGGAAAAACCATTGAACAATAATACCAAAGTCTCACAAATATCAAGGAACTGGAATCCAGAAAGAGAGAATCCGAACATTAAAGTCATTATTTGAGAAATGGTCTTGACAATCCATTCAAGGGATTCAAAGAGTCAGAAAAAGTATAATTTAACTTAATTCACCAACTTTCTGCCAGCGCACATCAGCCAGGCTTTGCCTAAGGTTCTTCACGTTCTTCTCTCACAGCTCCAGTCTCCTGCTCGTCCGCACCTGAAAAACAACCACCCGAGTTGTTAGGCAATCAGAAATATGCACAAAATTAAGAAAAAATTGTTCAGCCTATCTTAACAGTGAATCTTTTACACCAGAGACAGTAACCACATTTTCATTTAATATTGATTGGACAGTCACCACAAGGAGGAGGGGGAGGGGAGGGGAGGGAGGGGGAGGGGAGGGGAGGGGGAGGGGGAGGGGAGGGGAGGGAGGGGAGGGAGGGGAGGGGAGGGGGAGAAAGGCACTGTGAAGACAGGCAGAGGAGTGATGTGACCCCAAAGCAAGGAAGCCAAAGAAGGTCACAGCCTGAGACACTGGGAGGAGGAAGCAGTCCCCTCTAGCACCTCCAGGCAGAATACGGCCTTGCTGACACCTTGAATTCAGATGTCAGGCCTCCAGGACTAAGGGATTATACATTCTGTTGTGATCATTTGTAGTGACAACCATAGGATCTAATACACATTTATAAAAGATATGTCAACGAAGTTGTTAAAAATCAACCTAATAATTAAGGGTAAATGATTTGTAGTTGCAGAGAGTAAAGTGAAAAATGTAGCAATACTGCCAACCCATGGAGAGGAAATACTAAACAGAATACAGAGGAAGCTGGGACAGATAAGAAGCAGACCGCAACATCCCACAGCTAAGGTGAGGACCGAGGGACCGACCCCGAGCCTTCGTAAGTGGCTCCTCCTACCGGGCGCGCTCCCCTTCTTGCCCAACCAGTCAGTGACTGCTCACCCTTGGAGGCTCAACTTCAATGCCACCTCCCCACCCAGTGTTCATCATTCCCTCTGAAGTGCTGCCATGTACTTTGTCCTGAAACTCTTTTTTTTTTAACTTTTCTTAATATTTTTTTATTTTATTATTGTTCAAGTACAGTTGTCTGCATTTTCCTCCCACACCTCCACACCCCAGCCATCCCCACCTCCCTTCCCTGTTTCCACCCACCTTTGGTTTTGTCCATGTGCCCTTTATCGTGAGTTGTTCCTGAAAACCCTTATACACTTGTCCCAGCCTACTGCAGTGATCAGCTGGCATGCCTGCCTCGCCGACAGACTGAAATAATCCCGAGTTGTGATCATGCCCTACTCACCTGAAGCCCTGGGACAACGTCTCTGGTAAAAAGACACGAGGGAGCCCTGGGGCAGTGGCGGTAAAGCGTGGCTACACAACAGAATCACCTGGACTCCGTCCCCAGAAACTGTGTTCAAAAATGCTGATGCCTACAGCCAACCCTTAGAAACTTATTTATTTCCTTGGGGATGGAACCAAAGCATTACTGTTTTAAATGGCATCAAGTGATTCTACCGTGCAGCCAGAGGTCAGGATGAACTGCCTAAGGGATGGACTCAGAACAGCTTAAATGCCAGACAGATCTGAAGCAGGTATCAAGTAGAAAAATCTAAAAACCAAACATAAACAAAGTGTAGATGATCCCAGACTCACTACACGTGTCTCCAAATAAAATATTAACTGTGAGAGAACAGAGAATTCAAGCTGGAGTACGCTTGCTCTCAGCAGCTACAGGGAAGGTTAACCAAAGGTAGGACAATGGAATTGGCTGCAGAGATAGGAAGACAATCTGGAACAGGTAGTGTCTTCATCAAAATGAAATTTAAGAAAAAAGGCAGGGATTGAGCTGATGGGAAAAAAACATACCTCTGGACATCATTTTCATCACCACCATATTTGCTAGTGTTTTTCACAACCCTAAAGTAGAGTGACCAGCGAACCAGACAGCCCGGAGCTTCTCAGGATGTAATGTGCATGCAAATCGCCTGCTGGGGCATCTCACTGAAACACAGACTCAGATGCAGTAGACCTGGAGCAGGGCCTGGGGTCTGGCTTTCCAACAAGATCCCAGGTGATAACAGTACTACTGGCCGTAGGTCTGGTCTACAGTCCTGATCTCCGGTAACTTTCCCTTTTACCCAATGTGAAGGGAGCAATGGCATCAGAAGTTCCCAGTGACTGAAAGTGGTAAGTACTACAATGAAACACTAAAACTCTCCAATTTGCCATTGTTCACTTGCTAGTAGTAACAAAATGATAAACTAATATTTAATAAGTGGAAGAAATAAGTAACAAATAATTTACATGAAAAGACTATAGCAAGAACTGGATCCAAAAATTAGTTAAAAAAATACGACAAATTTGTCAAATATAAATGTACTATATACCACAGTCATATAAAAATGAATTAACACTAAAAATTTCTAACATGGCCGCTCTGACCATTTGATCAAACAAACTGGGTGAGGGCTGAGGAAGTTACCAGGACCATCCGAGGAGCAATGAGCAGCCTCGGGGAAGTGATTTCACAAATAATAACCAGGAAGCCTGAAGGCACACACTGGTTCAGAGTAACAGAACTCCTTCAACGCAGCGAGTTAAGTATTTTCCTAAGAGCAAGCCAAAAAGTTTTTAAAGGAAAAAAAAAAGTCAGCTAATAGTGTTACTATTTTTAGAATCTCATGGCTTCGCTGCCAGTCAGGAAGACAATAACTGGAACAAAGGAAACCCTCTCGAAGCAATCTCGTTTCTTTGATTCGGGTGGTACAAGCAGTGACACAGACTAACACACATCCCTTTCGAGCCGCTGCAGTGTCCTCCCCAGAGTCAGTCCACCGTCACTGGGCTTCATCAAACAAGTTACAATCCAATCAACCATTTGCTGGACAGAATTTCAACACAAAGTATATTCAGATTGTATAGTTGGAATTTTTGTAGAACTTGTTCTGAGGACAAGCACCTAACAATTAGCTTTCTTACATCTAAACTGAAACTCATATCTCTCAAATATGCAGAGCAAAATCTCATGTGGCTTGCATTAGTTTGACAGTCTGGACGCTCCATACCAGGGACTCTGATTTCAGTAAGTCTGGCTGGGTCCTGGGCAGAGGTATAAAACAAGCAAAAAACTCCCCAGAAGATCCTCACACTCATTCTGGTTAGGAGTAATGCTCTGTGGATTTAACAGTGTTTCTCAAACACCATGTAAGTATCACCAGAGGAACCTATTAAAGTGCAAATTCTGATTCAGTAGGTTTGAGGTGGGGCCTAACGAGCCCCCAGCGATTGGACCACCCTCTAAGCAGCAAAGGCTTATCACCCGGGATGGAAACCACGGGGTTCCAAAGGGCGGAGAACCTGAAGACGAGGTGAGGGCCATGTCTCCCTGGACAGTATATGTCCCTTCCAGGAGAACATCTGCCACTCAGCTTCCCGCACTGATGGAAGTCCCTGCTGATTCGTTAGAAAAGTCAGAAATCCAGGCTTTTTATGGGAAATCTCCTGATTAAATGTTAAACACCATGTAAGCCAACCAAGTGCGGTCACTGATCTAAGTAATCATTTATGTGAATTTTTTCATTTGATCCTTATTAGGACCCTATAGGGTAAATATTGAAGCCATCTTATCTTCTAGATAAGGAAAGCACAGTGTAGAGGAGAGAGATTAAATAACTTGCCTAAGATCACCTCCTCTGAGCAGAGCACGGATTCAAACTCAGGTGGGACTCACCCAGAGCCCACGCTCCTAACCAGCAGGCTAGAACATGCCGGTGAATGAGCAAGCCACGCAGCCCTCACTCATCTAGGGACTAGCCTGGCCTCTCTTAGCCTTGCCCTGTGGGGAATTAACTTGCTCTATGGCTTTATGTTCCCAGTTTCCATTCACAGCAACCAGCCGTCCCAGTTTGCCGGGGACTGAGGGTTTCCTGGGACAAGGACATGCAGTGGTAAAACCAGGAACTCCAAAGCAAACCCAGAATTTGGTCACCCTCGTGCTCATTTAGGGGTTATTTTTAAAACAACTTTATCTGAATTATTTCTTGAATTTATTATAGAAATTTTTAAGACCAATATTCACTGAACAGGTCCTACGGGAAACTCCCGTCTTCCTGGAAGAATCAGTGTGGTTCTGCCTCACTTCTTTCCTGCATGACCGACTCCGTGTCCCTTTCTGCCCCGTTCTATTTGTTGTTCATATTTCCTCCTTATTATATATAAATTTCTGGTGATAACTAGCTGAAGTGATTAGTGGCAAAAAGAGAATACTATACACGCACAGATACCTTTTGTACTATCTAGAAAGTAATTCAGCGTTAGATAACTTGATTGAAGAGCAGACTAACTGCAGACCTCAAGTGTTTTCCTTCTGAAGTGCCAGTGCACTCGAAGGTGTCGAGAAGACTTCCTCCTGGGCCCCTCACACTCCCACGTGGAGGAACTGACCTTGGGAAGCATCCGGTCCAACTGCACCCCCTCCTCCATGCTTCCCATGGGAAGAGCCAGGCATCTGATTGGTGGGCTTGGGCAGCTCAGCCCCTTCCCCTAAGGAAACCAGCACCCACCCCAAAGGTGCTTCTTTGCTCCTCCACACCACTGGTTCTACATGGACAGGTCCCCACAGGCAAGGCGTGATTTTCCCCTCCGCCAGCGACTGGGTGTGTACGTTTATTTGGGAAGGCACAGCATTGGGAAGACTGTCCAGCTGCCTACCTAAGCCCCAAGAATCCCTACCTTTCATTAGCAATAAAGCTGAGCTCCTTGATCTCCCTTCACTGGAATCCATCTAGTATCTCTCAATGGGTTCTGATCTGGGTGAGGAAGAGAAGGCGCTCTTTATGGACCCCCTAGAGCCCAACAGTGAGTGAGCACAGCACTGAACTCACTGGACCCCGTACACAGAAACTTGAACAGCAGAGTTACCACTAAGTTTAAAGCACAAATATGAAACATCGTGTATTTCACATTTGAAACTTAATATAACTGTGAAGAAATTCTTACTTTTCAAACCCCCAATTTAAATTGGTCCTCACTGACATTAGGCTTGGCTCTGTTTTTTAAGTGTTATCTGACTCTGCCTTTTAGAAGCAGAATTTTAATACTTGATGAGCAGACCTAAGTTCCTTAAAGAAAAGAAAACTACATACTAATAATATCTGCTATTGGAAGAGAAAAATGGTGAGTGGTTTTTCCTCTCTGTCTGCGCACATAAGTCTACTCTGAACCACACATGCACACGTCTGTCTCCTGAGCCCGAACCGGAGGGAGTGCGTGTGACAGCTGAACACAGCGCGGCTCCGCGTCACAGTCGCATCTCGGAAAGGCTCTGGGCCGAGAAAAACGGGTCAGTGTTCACTGTTGGTGTTCATTTTTGTAGAAAACATATAATGCACAATTTAGTATTTTAGCATAGAATTGATTAGCAAGTTATTTTCATCGTCGTAAATGCTGGAGTTAGCAAAATTTTTAAAAACTCCAACTTTAGATATGCTAACACACACTAGAATGATAATGTAGGACATATTCCTTAAAGTTTTTTATGTCATAAACACAAAATAAAATATGGCTCACATATTCACATGTATGCCATCTTCATGCTCCATACTCACAAGCATTATTGTGGTCATAGAGTAGGACCGTCTGGTGCCACCAGAGGCGTGCTCTGTGGGGTGAGGTAAGCAGCCAAAGCCTGTTTCCATTAAGTCACTTGAACTTCTAGTTCACTCCATGTTCTACTCAGCAACAGATACACATCCGCTCACACAGAAATAAAGTCCTATCTTAGCCAAGCACTGTTCTAACCCTTCTCCTGGCCCCTCACCACACACACACACACACACACACACACACACACACACACACAGGAATACTACTCAGCCATAAAAAGGAATAGAATCTTGTCATTTGCAATAACATTGCTGTACCTTGAGGTTATTATGCCAAGTGAAATAAGCCAAATGGAGAAAGACAAATACCATATGATTTCACTCACATGTGAAATCTAAAAAAACAAACAAGTGAGCAAATAAAACAAAACAAAAACAAGCACAGATACAGAGAACAGATTGGTGGTTGCCAAAGGTGTGGGGATTTGGGGTAGTGGAAATGGGTGAGGGAGGTCAGCTGTATGATGAAGTATGGTAACTAGAATTTTGGTGGTGATTGCACTGCAGTGTATACAAATATCAAATTAAAATATCGTACACCTGAAACTTATAAATTGTTACATAACAATTTTATCCCAATTTTTAAAAAGAACATGTACTATTACCATTAAGAATAATGTGTTTCATACGAGCACTAAGCACAGCCTTGACCTCCTATGGACACTGGTGATATGTTCTTATGTGTGTATGCTCTGCGTCAACACCACCCGGGACTCACACAGATGCCTCTACACCCTACTTCTTACACTATAATACCTCCATATGGGACACTCAGTAAGAATCACTCACCAAAACACATCTTCTCCAAGCCTTACCTGGTTCTGGTTTCTCTGAAGGGCTGAGAGCCAGGTGTTGGTCTTCAGATAAAAGGCTCACATCCATGCCATACAGTGGATCGTCCAAAAAAGAAGGCCTTTTCAGTCCTCCAATGCCAAGAGTCTTTGACATAAAATAGTCCTTCGTGTCACTAATAACCCTGTCATTGGAAAACTGGAGGCCTTTCACATTCTCAGCTTCAATGACAAGAGCTTGTGACACATACTGCCCAGACAAGGCTTTGCTGAGATAGTAGCCTGGAGAGGCTCCGCAGTCTGCAGTCTCGGGCGCCTGTGCATCTCCAGTCTCAGTGCTTTCGGCTTCCGTTTCTGACTCAGTCAGTGCCTCAGAAGGGATAGGTCTGGAAAGCTGGGGAGACTCAAGCGTTACATTCTCAATATCTTTCTGTTCTCTTTCCAAAGAAAGTCCAACTGTGGATTTTTGTTTGAATGTGCATTCATCCAGAAGATGCCTTAACTGTTCCTCAGAGAGAAGTGATGTTGAATCTAACTGATGAAACAAACCAAAAGTTTTCATAGTCAATTGACTGAGTAAACATTTATTTCTGGTAAGCTTCCAGTAACACAATATAAATCCGAATGCCCAGAAACTCCTTATATGAAACACTCAAATAGCAAAATCATTCATTTTAAGGGATCCAAAATAGCATGGGAAATGTAAAACATCCCTAGAGAATAAGTTGAGAATCAATTACATACTCAAATCCAGGAAAAAGTCCTGCAACATTGATGGAAATGAATTACTTCATCAAAGTAAACACCAGCACTCTCTATACATATCAGTAACTTGAACTGGAATGGAGATACTAGAAAAGCACGTTCCATTTTATAAATCTTGGAACATCAGGAAGGGAAGTGAGCAATCACATCTTTGATAAATAACCAGGAATACTGCCATTATCTCCAGTAGGTGTTTCTCTGTTCCCCCTACTCCTTGGTGGGAAGCCCATCACCACCCAATTCCTTAAGGAAAAAAATCTCAGGCAAACAGTGCAGACTACACCTGTCCCTGCGGATTCATCACAAGAATAGGGATGCATTCATGAACCTACATCTGTCCACAACTTTCAACAGACAATACCACTGCAGAGAGAAAAGGAAAAGTAAGGGGTGGTGCATCCTGAGATGTGTAGTTGCTTCAAAGCCAGAGGTCTAGACAGAGGCCAGGGGCATTCCAGTAGCAGTGCATTCTGGGAGAAGGATATGATCAAACACAGTTAATCTCTGCTTGTAAAGGCTATCAGGGCTGAATGTTTCAACAAAGATCTTAAGGATTTAAAAACATTTTTTTCTTTCAGAGATGTTCTCAGGAAATAAAATATCAAATGAAAGTGTAAAGCTATGTTCTACAAGGATTCAACTGAACAGCATGCCAAATGAATTGCAACAATCTCAAAAATGAATGAGATTGAAATATGCTGAATCACAATGAAAAAAAAGTTCCTTCTCTAAAGAATCAGCGCCATCCCTGATTTACCTCATGGATTAGCTAGAAAAACACGAGTCCTCCTTTACAGGAGAATGAATTATCAAAGAACAGGAAGTCCCCATTAGAAAACCTAAATATTAATTGCAATGGCCTTAATTTTTACTCCAACAAAGGAAAACAATGCTATGGCCCCCTTTGTGATACACAGTGAGAATTAACCAGATATTCTGCACATGTAACGTGCTGGGGAGGGGATCACCGTTACTGGAACGAGTACAGTCAATTCCTCATTATTGTGAAATGCTTCTAATACAGCTAACAAAAAAAATAGTATGTAAAACAAATTCTGTATCGTGTTTAAAATATGTGTTTTTGAGTTATATTTAACTTCCATAAATTAAAAACTAGTTATCATAGAGGCAAGTATCATTATGAGCTTGAGAGTAAAAAATAGGAATTGAATCATATATTCACAAGTCCTACTCTCAATCCCTGGACATCCCAGGCACCCTGATGTGGCACTGTGTCCTATCAGGAGCACTCCCTTCACCCTGCTATGTAACCCTGGTCAAGTGAAACATGAAGGCAGTCCCGCATGGCACTGGATAATTAAAATACCCCTTCAGAACCTGCCTGTATAAAATAGTTCATAATGAGCAGACAACTCCCTAGGACTCAGAAAGAGTCTGCTGAGTGTAATCCTCACCAAACATTCTCCCCACAGGCCTATCATATGAAATGTCCAGATACCAGGAAAAAACAGTCCATAGGGGAGCGAGAGGATAAAGAATTATGGCAGGGGTCTCTGGGTGGGGGTGAGACTGGTACATCATCTGGTATGTTCGACCGCTTCTGCAAATAGTAAGGTTAGTTGGTTGACAGTTCTGATGAGGTATTTGGCTAGATGCACAGAAAATTAAGTAAAAGCAAAAAATAAAAGCAACTACGCACGTTCTGAACAAAAAGCTGTATGAAAAGGAAGGTGAGTTTCAGATAACACAGAAAATTAAGCAAAAGAAAATAAGATAATTAACTCTAAGACAAACAAAAGTTGTGTAAGAAAGGATACCATAGGATACAACTTGCTTTTGCTGTAAGTAATATTTACACAGTCATCATAATATGATTAGTGGTAATGGAGGTGACAAAAATTATGATTTAACTATTTGGGGGGAATGAGAGGAAAGAAAAGGAATGTTTAGAGTAACAAAGTTAAATTGGTAGCTACTGTCATAGAAAGTCAATATATAATTGATGTAATAGTACACCACCACTATTAACACAAAATTTTATATCATTGAACTTGGTTTAAATACTGGCCAATTAAAACACAAGTCATTATGAAACAACACAGAGGTAAAGAGCAGGGGGAAGATCTAAAGGAACTGAAAGTGGCTGACTCTGGATACAAACTGAGAGGTGGGGAAGAATGGGGAGAAGGAACTGCCATTTTTGCTTAAAACATTTCATCACAACTTTTTCTTTAATTATTTCATTACTAAAATTAAAATGAACTTAAAATATAAAAACAAAATTAATTTAAATGTATTCAAATTGTTAATAAAAATTAATTTAAAAATAACAATCTGAGGTCCTGGCTGGCGTAGCTCAGTGGGTTGAGTGCAGGCTGCGAACCAAAGTGTTCAATTTCCAGTCAGGGCACATGCCTGGGTTGCAGGCCATGGCCCCCAGCAACTGCACATTGATGTTTCTCTCTCTCTCTTTCTCCCTCCCTTCCCTCTCTAAAAATAAATAAATAAATAAAATCTTTTAAAAAAAAATAACAATCTGAAATATTAAAATGAAATTCCCAGCCAATTATATCCTTGGGCATCAAAAGCAGATCCAGGGGAAGGACCACATTTGTAGCAAATTCCATGGCAGCTTTACAAGCTGAGCAGCTGTAGAGTAAATAACTGGGTGTTCTTGACACTTGGATATGGGATATGTGCACAGGGGGTGGAAATAAAGCAGTGTATAAGCACTGTATTGTAAAGTAGAAAATGTGATGTCTTAATAACTATTAAAAATTGGTGTGCGCACACACAAAAAGTGAGAGGCCTTCAGTGGCTTTGTGGTAAATCTGCCCATGGGTGCTCGACAGTAAAGTGGAACACATCCAAGTGTGCGTGTGCACAGAAGCAAGCTCCGAGACAAGCACCCTGACCTCTGGGGGAAGAGGTCTGACATGAAGGGACACAGGTCATAGCCTGGGCTTCGGTCCAAGCTTTGCCACCTCGTGCATGTCACCTACGCAGCCCACCCCCTGCAGCTAGGAAATGAGCAGTTGAGGAGGATGATCTCTGCATTCACTTCTGGCTATTAAGTGACTTTTTATGAATAACTACTTTAAAAAATTAATATAAGCATAAGCTATTCTATTGACATTAGAATATCACCTGGGTAGAATTTATGAAAACCATAACAAAAAGTGAACTTTGTTTCTTTTATTTCTTTATAATACTAATCCTGAACTCAAAAAGCAACTAAAAATTCTCTGGTCTCAAAACAGTATAAGTGAAAGTGAACGAAATATGTGAAGACCTCGAATTAAATTATTCAGTTACAGTGGTTCTGGGTGGCAGCACAGATCAGCACCGCAGCACGTGTCACCTGCTCACCTCTGCTCCCCGGCGGAGCCTGGCCTGCAGTGTGAGTTCGGGTGGTTACCGGTGTGGGGCCACGTGGATGAAAGTCACAAGTGTTTTGAAATAGCTAAGTACTATGCTAACATGTTAGTCACACATGCGGAACTGAACTACACTAGGACTGTGTCACAAACATTTCTAACTACCCTTACTAGTTAAAGGACCATAACACCTTCCCTCACCCAGACTGCTCTGGAACTGCGAGCTAGTGAGCTCCATAACTGAAGGACACTGTGCCACCTCAGTCAAGTAACCATCTGTTCAAGCACTCACCTCGAAGTATTCATCTTTCATGCCAGTTCTAGTTTTCCCATAATTCAAAAACAAGTTATTATTCATGCTATTCCTGTCCTTCAAAAAATTCATCATAGTGCATCTCAGTCTTCATTTTCCCAAACCAAAGCCCAACCTATTTTCTCTCTTTATATGAAAGCCCCTCTCTTCCCATCTTCACTTCAGCTTTTTTATGGGTCTTCTTTCTTGTTTTAGAAAAACACACACATTCCACAGGCAAAGAGTAAATGTATTGGATTTTCTCATCAGGAAAATAATGTAGAACACTTGTGGCATTTTTGCTCCTGCATTTTGCTGGTCTTGTTGACACTCCAGGTGATGTCTTACAGAACAGTAATAACTAGTATTTATTAACCACCTACTTCAGTGCATATTACATGTATCGACTTCTTTAATCATCATAGCACACCTATGAGGTAGATACTATTGTTAATTTCCATGTTACAGATGAATAAACTGAGAAATTAAGTAACCTGTCCATGTGGTGGACCTGGGATTGGAATGTAGGTCTGGGTCCAGAGCATATGGGCCTAACTGTTGGGAACCGCCCTGCCTGGTTTCAGGAGCTATAACCCGCCCCCACTCCATGGCTAAGGCTGAGTGAGCAACGTTCAGACCAGAAGCCAATAAGGAGACAAAGTTTATCTCCCTGGCAGGGGCGCCACCTCTGCCCCTTTTACTTCACCCTGCCTGGCCCCCAGTGCATGATCAGTTAGCCAATGATGGGTAAGATTCCTCAAGGGAAGGACAACCTAAGACAGGCACAATCATGGGGAGTCCCAGGGAAGGACTTGGGGGGCTATAGTAAAAGGGAGTGATGGACCCTCATCCCTTGGCTTTGACATAGCCTGAGTCCTCATTCTGTCTGCAAGAAGTCTCCTAATCTCTTGGCTGCCTTGCTTCCCCTGCCTGGCTTAAGCCTGCAACCATAACAGAGGGCAGTGCAGCCCTGTGCTGGAAAGGGAAGGTCCCCCAGGTGATCAGACCTAACAAAGAATCCATAAAATCCCGTGAAATCTTATTTGCTAAGAATGCCCTCAGTTAAATGATAAGGGTCTGAGCAAGATGCAAGTTTGTTTCCCAAAGTTTTATAGACTCTTAGCTAACAGACCCTGACTC